GAAGCTACCAAAGGCCGTTGGAGGAAATCGGGTAGAGAGATACAGCGATAAAGAAGCGGGTACACGTCACATGTCTGTAGGTAGACTACTGAGGCGCTGGACAGAGATCATTTGGTAGAGCCTAAAAAAAAACGGAAGAAAAGGTTTCTGGGTTTTACTGAATCTGTGGTTAATCGATTTGTGTTATTTGCTGTTTTATTTTGTATTGGTATGGTATGCTAATGAGGGAATCATTTTGTATTGCCTACCTAATACGGCCATACCTTCTCCTTTTATCAATGCTTTTTTAATAAGAAAATTGTTTATCTGTTCGTCTTATTTGAAGTTGCAAATAACGTCGAAAAAAAAAGGAAAGAAATTGTCATAAGTTTCAAGAAATTTACAAATTTTATCAAGACAAAAACTGACTAGCCATTAAAACCTACAATTTCTTTGCAAAAGCTAGATATTATTGTGTAAATAACATGAAAGCAACGAATCCTTAAAAATAATTAGTGTTCTAATGACGATAAAGGATGATAAACGGCTGGAACTGCTGTAGTCAAATTTATAATCGATAGAGCAACTTAATCTGAGCCGAATTAAGGCTCAATTAAACCTACTCTAATACAGTAAATCCTCTTTTATTGAAATACTGTTTTTTCTCATTGGTCTAAGTGGCTCTCTTATGTCGAACTCTTTCTATAGCTTCCAAACAAAATTTTATTCTCTATTAATTTGAAAAACAATGAACTAGAAACAAAAGGATGGACAGACGGAATAGAATGATGACCGAAGGGTAGATAAGCAACAATTCTCTTCCAAAGCGGAGAAAGACTTTGAGATTATGAGCAGGAAACTAATAGAGTACATCCAGTATTCCCCAATAATAATCTACTTACAATACTTTAATGGAAAAAATAGAATAAACAAAAACAACTCTATGAAACATGCGTCCAAATGAAAGGATCAATCTCCTCACGAAATTCCAACACAAATTAAATTTCACTGACCTGATATAGAGATCCAAATTGGATTATATACGAATAAATTCAATAACTCTTAAATTTACTAGACAGAGAATAACGATTGTACTGACTTCAGCTGTATCAAAAAGCAACAATAACAACTATTCGAGAAGAGACAGTAATAATCCTCACAAAGAAAAACAGATCTCCTTGTTTTTTTCACTTCTGGTTCTTTGGCTTTCCAAAAGGAACCAACTCTTTGTTTAACCAGAATGAATGAAACAAAGAGCTTACAATTACTTTGACCTTTGAACATTGGCGACGCTTTGTTCAACTGTGGTGTGAACAAGTAAATTTTGTTTTTCTTTTTTTTTTTTTTTTTTTTTTTTTTT